ATCACAGAAAACAATAATCTAAGCATCTAGTAATGTTTTATCTGCATCACAATTGTGATCATTTGAAGAAAATGTAACTTATAGAATGTACTTTTATCGTTTCACTGTATCAATATTGATATCATTTTATTGAAGATCTAATTTAAAAGAAGATTGAACAAGGAGAGTGATGAGTGAGTCCTATCTCATTACTATGCGATGTCATTTCAATGAAGTCATGATATAACAATTATGGTTCTTGAAGTGGGTGATTTTGATGGAGTTTTGTTGTGTGAACTGAATGGTTTGTTTGTTCATAGAGCTTTCATTGTTATTGTTGTGGTAGACTCCGATCTGAATTGTATGTTAATGATGAACAATGAAAGCTCCACGACCAAACCATTCAGTTCAGAGAACAAAACTCTGAATCACGATCACTTACATGAAGTTCTTCATAAAGTGTACACGTAGTGGAGTGACATTATCTACAACATTCAATCAATGTTTTACATCTTGAATAATCGACTATTGATTTTGTTCATTTAGCGAGTATTTGATGGATATTGAAGAGTGACATTTCAAGTGTCTGTAGTTATTTTCACCTGTCAGATATGACTAAATTACTGTTACATAATCTAACATACTGAATGAATATCACAGATATGAGTGGGATTCATAGTATAAAATTGAAATGACAACTTGATGTTGTACTCAACCATTGAATGAACAAGAAGAAAATACATTCAGTAGTGTTGGATACAACCGATTTATTGGAACACTGAAAACATTACAGATCATATTGTTTTAGTTATCCATAGAAAACTAATCTTCCGTAATCAATGACATTTTCAACAATATTCAATATATGTTCTATGCTGACATTTACATAATTTCATCATTAAGTTATTGGCTAAATATAAACCAGAGGTAATCTCATTTTACAGATGAGCGATATTACCACTTTTCTATTTCTTTTACCCATAACATTCAACATATCGAAAGTCATTCAACTTCACCAATACATGACATTGGATATGGAAGACGAAATCAATTTTCGTAAATTAGTTCATTATGGTGAATACTTGCTTAATTTACTTTGCTTACTTACCAACTTTGCTTTACTTATGTACTTAATTATTTGCTAATTTCGCCTACTTACTTACTTACTTACTTTACCTTACTTTACTTTACTTTACTTTACTTAAGCCTGTTGCAGTCAGTACAGATATGAAATCAAAATCAAATTCAAACCCTAAGGAAATATTCCTATATGATAAAATGTACAATGATTCACATTTATGCAAGAATTTGGTCCGGAAAAAGATGAATTTTATTGTGCAGTTGAAAAAAAGAATGCTGTTTACATCACTACTAATCGATACTTTAAGAAAATGTCTAAATAATGCATTTCAAACGAATAATCAGAAAGAGGTCATGGATGTCCACTGTTGAAGAGTCCCATACTAAAGTGAAATGGATATTTAGTACCATCCATGTATTCAACATTGTCTAATTACGATTGTATCGTAGTTTCAATGAGATTGTTATTATTTTATCAATATTACTCAGATTTCTTCTCAGAAATTAACTTGACTCTATAAAAACAGATGAATCATTGAATTCTAAGTCCATAAATGTTATACGAACCGTCAGATAGGGATTTCCAAAACTTTATCCTGTGTGTGGTGGACGGCCTACACAACTAATGAAGAGTATTACATTCAGATGTAAAAACTAGTTATCGGATTAATTCCAATCGCTAACCGATATCTACATAAATGTGTGAGTAAAATATAGTGCATTAACACAACTATTTTAACCCTTATCTTGTTTCGTTGAACATTAAGATGGTTAACTAAGATGTCACCAACTTGAATTATGAAGTCTTTAAAACACATCGCCTTAGATAACACTTTAGTTCATTTCAGTAGTATATCAAATTTGATAGTTGTATAATCTGTTTTAGGTCAATAATCAGTCTTTTTGAAAAACAATGTAATACATGAATGTTATTCTTAAACGGATTTCATCAGTCGAAAGACTGAAGAATTCAAGACTTTCTTTAAAGTTCTATGTAATGATTACACCACTAGATTTTAAACCGTCACAGAACAGGTTGGAATTCATTCTTCTTTTCTGAACTTTTCATACATAAATGATGAATTAGAGTTAATTCAGTTTTCAAGGCTTTTTTTTGTTTAAAACGTTTAAATCGTCTAATTTTCCTGGAATGTTCAAATAACTTTTGACAAATGAGATAACTCAGAATAGTTTAGCTTAGTCGAACTACACAGATGTTGTTTTCTTTTAATCATTTAGTTTATTGCACACATCGGATTGTCATGTGCTCAATGACAATATTGACGTTAACTGATGATGAATTAAAAGAAGGAGGTTTTATAGAGATTTTAGTAAGTTACTAGTTGAATTCACCACCATGAAAAACCTGGAAGCACTGGAGGGCCGATTCATCCAAGTATGAATTTTTACAAAACCCTATTATGATAATAATCATAATCTGGTCACTAGTGACTGGTTTTAAGAGGTATTTCCTAGAGTTCTAGTGAGAAGGCATAATCAGTTAAGTTCAACGAGGTATTTTGTGAGATAGTAACCCACTAAAGACAATGATGGACGGTGGCGTAATTTCGTGAATTCGTTAAAATCAAACATTAACACTATCGAATGCCGGCTCAATGGTCTAAAGGTTAAGCGTCCGTGCGCAAAACCGACAGGTCTTGGGTTCGACTCCCACGTACAGGATCGTGAATACACACTTCTGTATTGTCTCATATTAGGACGAGGCAGTCGTTCAGTGCTTCTAGACTTTTCCATGGTGGTCTAGCTTTAATTGATTCATGAATTCAATTATTTAAATACAAGTGAATAATTTGATAATTCATTCATGTACATTTGAAATGAGAGATTATGCAAGTACTGAACAAACAGAAGATAATGTTTTAGACAATAATTATGCTAAAAAGTCTATTAAATCAACTATCAGTCCGCATGACATTGTTGTCAAAAGATGTTACCCAGCATACTATAGACACATAGAATGATATCCCTGACTGAAATATTAATCATACTTGAATATACATCTATATGTATATTGAATTTGATGGAGCTGACTAACCAACTTAATGAATTTAGGATGAAAAAAAGAGTTTTATAACATTCACATCATCAAATGAATGAGTTATGCGAATTCAAATGAAAATAACCTTTGAAGTAAGTGGAAATTTCAGATTGAAAATTCCCTGTTGAACATCTTTATCCATATAATACCATAACAAACCAGATCCCAGTAAAGGAAGAAATCATGAAGAAGCGATGAAAGTGACATAGGATATATATTGAGGAAAGCACTCAACTGGATCACAACGCAAGTCCTCACATAGAATCCTCAACGTCAAAGGAGAAGAGGAAGACCAAAGAACACATTACGCCAAGAAATGGAGACAGACATGAGAGGAATGAATACTAATTGGATAGAACTAAAGAGGAAAGCCCAGGACAGAGTGGATTAGAGAATGTTAATCGGCGGCCTATTCTTCTTCGGGAGTAATAGGCGTGAGAAAGTAAAGTAAGTAATTAGCAAACACTTTGAGTAGATCGATCACTTTATTGAAAAGATTTTGTTTTAGTATTAGATATTGCAATTCATGGTTATTGATTATCCATACGATGACTAAATTATTCTACGAAATTTTCTTGGTAATAATATAATTTTTTCATCGTTTGTAAAGATCATTCAGTTTGAAGATGCCTTTAATCACAATCTAAATTTACCTGAATAGTCACTGAAAACCTGGGAGCACTGAATAGCTGTTCCATTATGATATAGATCTTCTCAGCAGTTTATAACCACAACACTGTCAGAAAGAGAATGTAAAGTCTTTAAGCTAAGCGGTAAACTACATTTAGATCAGTGTTTTAACATGAAGTGATTAACATTTTCAAATTTAGTTAATTCACTATACTTCACGACGATTATTCAATGCCATCTGTGGTGACTATGTTATGTTGACATGTAGACTGCTGAATGCTAAGTACCTTCATCAGAATGACATGTGTTTGTTGTTGGGGAGAATTATACTGAAATATTACTCCTATTCAGTGCTCCATGGTCTTCAATCATTTTCATGCTAAAGTTAATGAGTGAAGTAAGCTATATATTACCTGAAATGTTCAATACTTCTAGTCCAAAGAGTGAGTGAATAGAATGAATAAAGCCCTATGGATAGCAAATAGCTTTCAAGTGAACAATAAAAGTCAGTGAATTTCATTTGGTTAATTTACTTAAATATATAACAGACTTCAGTGTTGTTATGTTCAATAAGAACAAGACATGTTTGTCAACTAGACTGTAATCAGACAAAGTAATAGGTTCAGAAACTGACATGTAATTCACATCTCTGATACACAATGGTAAATATATTTAGCTTAGGAAGTTTGTGAAGGCTTTATGCTCATTTAATCATGAAGCTTTCATGGTCCATTTAAACGACTTTATTAACGAACTTCGGAAATAATTAAGCATAAGTGATTAGCAGCTTATTTTGCGGAGACTGAATTTGATTTGTAGTTCTCTCTGGTTGTATTGTTACTATTATTATGTTTACTGCAGTAAATTATTAAAGTATTTTTCAAATAATAACCTAAAATCCTGCTCACATGAATCGTATCCCTCGTGCAGGATCATGAATGAACACTGCTGAAGAGTCCCGCAATAGGATGAAACGGCCATTCAGTGTTTCCAGGTTTACAATGTTAGTCTAACATTAATCGGTTCATGATCTCAATCAAAAACTCAATAATCTTCACAGCTCCCTTATTGATAAGTAACCAAAAACAACTTTCTAGTATTCCTTAATATTGATTGATTTCACTAACGGATATTATTCATTTGAGTATAGAGTTGATCAATATGATAGTTTCATTGATATTAGTAACCACTGCTTTTGTAAACAACATTATCATTATCAATATCATTAGTATTATTGATTTACATTACTTACCTTGAATAGGTGGTGGTGGTGGTTGTGGTAGTGGTAGTGATGGTTGTGATAGTGTAAATTTTTCTTGTTTTCTTGAATGTTTTAGTTTTCTTCTTGGTCTATATTTATAATCTGGATATGCTTTCATATGATTCATTCTTAAACGTTTAGCTTCATCAATAAATGGACGTTTTTCATTATCTGTTAATAATTTCCATTCAATACCTAAACGTTTACTTATTTCAGAATTATGCATTTTTGGATTAGCTTGAGCCATTTTACGTCGTTGACCACGTGACCATACCATAAATGCATTCATTGGACGTTTAACATGTAAATGATTATGATTATGATGATAACGATGTTGATGATGAAATGATGGAAGAGGAGAAAGAGGTGAAGAAGATGGAGATGTTTGATGATAATACTGATGATGATTATGATGATGATAAACTGAAGTCGTTGGTGACAATGATGAAGATGTTGTATTCGGTGTGATTGGTGATGATGCAAGTGAAGTTAATAGTTGATTATTATTCACAGTATTTTGTTTTGTATTAGACATTGACATCATCAAGTCTGAATTCATAATCATTGTCATCATAGTGGCAGTATTCATTTGTTCTTTATTATTTACATAATCATAATCAATTGATGATAATGAATCTTTTGACAGAATTCCTATTGAATTCATACATGGATAATAAGAATGATTAAGTATATTTGTATCCATATGATCATTATTGATGGTTTGTTGTTGTTTATGATTTGTGATATAATGCATTAATTGATTCCATATAAATGGAGTAGTAGTGGTAGTAGTAGTAGTAGTACTAGTAGTAGTAGTAGTAATAGTAGTAGTATTCATTCTGTTCATATGATAAATCAGTTTCTTTGCCTTGACGACTATTTACCTAGCATAGATACACGTATATATATATATTCAGTTCATTGTTATGCAATGAGTCTGTTGTTATATCACTATCAGGATTTTGTTATTGACTTACATCTTTTTTTCTTTTATTTATTTACCTTTTCAATTACTGAATAGACATGAGTAGACTTCTTCTTGTTGTTGTTGTTGTCATTGTTATGATTATCATCGTTATTGTTAGTATTCACAATACTGAAAATGATAATACTTTCATCACAGTTTCTTCAAATCTTCAATAATAAAGATAGTAGGATTGATGAATGTTTGTTCATTCTGACAGATTGCCTTCTTCTGTTCCCTTTTCTTTTTCTTCTTTCTTTTTATTGTTGGTTCTTTTCTGTTCTAGTGAATGCTCTCCACCCCAGTTTTTTTTCTCCTATTAGATAGAGAGTAGTAATGGTTGGAAACAGATTTCTTTCTTTCTTTCTTTTCTTCTTCTTCTTCTTCTTTCATTCATTTTCTATTGGTTTAACATGATAAATTGCCTTTCTTTTTTTATTTATTCTCATCGCTTATTTTTGTTGTTGTTAATAGTCTTTCATCCCTGTGGTTATTTATCATTGGACTAGATTTCTTCTGTAAATATGTATATATGAGTGTATATGTATGTATGTATGTATGTGTGTGTGTGTGTTTTTACCTACTGTTAGTTTTATTCTGATTGTAACTGTGGTTTTTGGTAGGTAGCCAACTAGTATTAGTATTATCACTCTTGTAGATATTGTCTCCATAGAATTTGTTATCCATTTGTTCTTCTAATTTATGAGAGGATAGAAATAACTTTAAGTATGTATGATTGTATATAAATTCCATTGTATCACAATATACAAGTGTAATGAGTTAGTGTCTAGTGTATGAATGTGAACGCACATTCATTATAGTGACCATTCAGAATAAAGAATTAAGTATAGAGATGTTTATCTAACTATTGTATTTCATATCAACTGCTACTTAACATTTGATAAAAAGAAAGATTGTAATCTATACTACTGCAAAGAATAATAATGATATTACCATTACTACTACTACTACTACTACTACTACTACTACTACTAATAATAATAATAATAATAATAATAATTATAATTATAATTATAATTATAATAATAATTCGTGGATTGGTTGAAGTTAGACATTAACATCATTGGACACCGACTCAATGGTCTAGAGGTTAAGCATTCGCGCTCGAGACTAATAGGTTCTGGGTTCGAATCCCTTGTGTAGGATCGTGGATGAGCACTGCTGAGGAGTCCCATACTAGGACGAAATGGCCGTCCAGTACTTCTAGGTCTTTCATCGTGATCTAGCTTTGACTGACTCATGGATTCAACTATAAAATTCTAATAATAACATTAACAACAATTAGAATGATGACTATAAATTGACTATTGACTATTATGTGATAGCATTAAATAAAAGCAATGATTCTACTAGTGTCTCATTCCCAACTGTTTAAGTCATCCATTTCCCAATGATATGAATATATTGCAACAAATGTTCCAGTTGTAGATTTTGTTTAAACTGAATAAATACGACTTTCAATGGTATGTAGTTATACAGTTTTAATAGAATCTTATAACTTATCAAGATATTAACTATTGAAAAACTCTTATAGAAGCACTGCACTTATTAGGAAATTTTCCTGTTTGCATACTAAGTGATTCATTTAGAGGTGACTACACTTATTTATCCAATGTAAAATGAATGAGTCAGTCAGTCAGTCAGTTAGCTACAATGTAGGAGCAGGGACATATGTGCATCGGTCCAAGTTCCCATACCGCACTAACACAACAATATGAACACCAGATTCATAAAAGTAGTTAACTCAGGGGTGGTAATAAATAAAAGAAAGAGTACATATAAGGATATAGTACAGGAAGAAAGAACTAGTTCATAGAAAGAAAGATATGAAGCGATTTTAATCTCTTAGTTTAAGGGAAGACAGGGAGTGTATACACCTACGCCATTGTGATTAATTCTGAGCCATGTCACCCAGATTCTCCAAACATTGGTTACGATATTCACGCGGACCCCAACCAAGTAGTCTGCATCTATCAACATGGCTCAGACTAGAAGTTAGTGACTTCAAGCACTGATGCCACGTTTTGTTTTGACTGCCCCTAACTTTCTTCCAACCATCCCCAACACCAGCAGGCATTACGCTCCGTGGTAGTCGGTGTGAAGAAAATAGTTGTAACATCTGAACTGGTTGGAAAGTTTAGCACTTGAAGTTCAATGACCATTGGAAAATAACTAAAGGGCTATATTTTTTTGGACTTTTTTAACAGTTAAAGTATTTACAAAAAAGGGTTATTATAGAATCAAATGATTAGTGCCGAAAATTTCTAACAGGAAAAACGTTTCTAGTTTGAAATAAAGTGATTATTATTATTATTACTACTGATATCAATGTGAATTACAATTCCATTCGGGTACTGTCGTTCAGCAATGATCAATTTTGTTAACAGATTATAAATAAATTAATTCATGCATTAAATCCACTTGGTATTGTTTGTTTAAATCTTCCCATTGATGTTTAAGACTGCGATTGATCAGTTTCTTATTAGCATATGTGCATACTGTACGGTTTGCCTCGAAATTCACAAGCATTTAAAGCATAGATCAATAGTGGCTAGAAGTGGAATCCAGTTTGACGCGCGTTTCGTCCTCTTTGGGACTCGTCATACCGAGTGAAGTTAAGCTTCGTCCCATTGCACAAACAACTAGCTATCAGCATTCAGTAGCTAAGTAGATAACATGATGGCATTTGAAGCAAACAGTACTTGGTTCGGGTCACAGGGTGAACATCAATTCTATGATGCAGGTACTTCCAGCTGACAAGTCCAAAATAGGACGAGACGTGCATCAAACTGAATTCCACCACTGCTATCCACTATCTATCTTTCCTTAGAGTACTTTATACATCGTTTCCTTATATATAATTTCATTTCTTTCAAGTTTAAAAGAGATGCTCTTTATTTCAATTATATAGATTCTTTGAAATGTATAACAGATCTGAGAAATCAAAATATGTATTAACAATTATTTTTGTTAGACAAATTGATCATTTCTTAAACTTGACTATTGGTACATTACCCTTTGAACCACTACATTTGATCCAGATCATTAGCATTTTTGGTAATATTTTTGATAACTATATTAGATGTGTGGATTGTTTCCAACATATGAAAATTTCTTGTGTGAATATGTATAGGGTTATAATTAAGAAGGTCGAATATTCGCTTAATTAGTTTGAAATTTGATTGCTTTACCAGTAATTTCTGGTAAGCGTTTTTTTAGCTAGTTAGTTTTCTACGGAATGAGGACGCTAACCCCATGCCCAACCCTCCTCCTTTACCCGGGCTTGCGACCGGCAGTAACCCTATAAGAGCTACAGGCGGAACTCATACGACGGACTACAGTGCAAAGTAGTGCATGGAGGACAGCTGACAGATGCATTACAAGTAAGGACCGGAGTCAGACAAGGCTATTTACTCTCTCCCTTCCTCTTTCTTCTGGTGGTCGACTGGATTATGAAGACCTCAACATCTGAAGGGAAACACGGAATACAATGGACAACTCAGAACCAATTAGACGATGTGGACTTCGCAGATGACCTAGCCCTCCTATCACGTACACACGAACAGATGCAGATGAAGACAGCCAGTGTAGCAGCAGTCTCTGCATCAGTAGGCCTCAGTATACACAAAGGGAAAACCAAGGTCCTCAAATTCAAAGCGGAAAACAGCAATCCAATCACTCTTGATGGCGAAACTCTGGAAGATGTAGAATCCTTCACATACCTGGGAAGCATCATCGATGAACAAGGAGGTTCAGATGCAGACGTAAAGGCGAGGATTGGCAAAGCAAGGGACGCATTCCTACAATTGAAGAACATATGGAACTCAAAACAACTCTCAACCAGTATCAAAGTGAGAATCTTCAATACGAACATCAAGGCAGTTCTACTGTACGGAGCTGAAACTTGGAGAACTACAACAACCACAATCAAGAAATTACAAGTATTTATAAATAGCTGTCTACGCAAGATACTCAACATCCATTGGTCGGATACCATCAGCAATAGCATTCTGTGGGAGAGAACAAACCAACTTCCAGCTGAAGAGGAAATTAGGAAAAGACGATGGAAATGGATAGGACATACATTACGCAAATCGTCAAACTGCATCACGAGGCAAGCCCTAACTTGGAATCCTGAAGGGAAGCGAAAAAGAGGAAGGCCAAAGAACACATTGCATCGGATAATAGAAGCAGATATGAAAAGGATGAATTACAACTGGACGGAGCTGGAGAGGATTGCCCAGGACAGGGTTGGATGGAGAATGCTGGTGAGCGGCCTATGCTCCCTCATGAGGAGTAACAGGCGTAAGTAAGTAAGTAAGTAACCAGTAATTTGCTAAGAAAAATACGGTTACTCTATCATTCCCATTGAATATGTCATATTTATTGAGTTCTTTTTAATGTTAATTGGAATCAATCAATCAAGTTGTAGTATGATCACTAGTTTACGTGCCTAGAGATCATTTAAACTATTTTAATGTTTGATGGTTACAAATAATCATAAGAAAACTGTGATCATAGATTCTCTACTAGATATCATGCATCATTGATGAGTATCTCCTGATAAACTCTGTGATATTTCAATTATAGTCATTATTAGAGTTGAGGGTTAGATACCTGAGTAATAAAATGTCAGGTTGTAAAGATAAGTGTCTCTCATTCGAATCTAACAGAAAGCATCAATTTTCTCAAGGTTGGAAGTAAGTCATACTGTCGAATGCCGTATAACATGAAACCTAGTTCCACAATTTTCTCTCGACTACCTCCAACCATCTAACATCGATTATATTACTTATATTTTATTTAAAATAAAAGTCAGTTTTGATGGATGCCATTGAAAATATAAATCTAGG